CGATGTTTATATTTAAGGGGGTGCATCGATGCACTCCTTATGCATCGATGCATTGATGGCATTCGATGTTTGTATTTTAAAAGAGTGCATCAATGCACTTCATGTGCATCGATACACCTTGAACAATTTTTTAGATTTATCCTTGATGCATCGGTGCACATTGAATGTGCATCGATGCACATCCCAGAAACGTCATTTTAAGCATGAAAATCTCTTTATAATCTTCTCTACACTTTATATTTCACTTCCTTTTATATCCCTAACTTGCATACACTTACTTAAACTAATTATTATCCATTTGATACCTTTAAAACTTAGAAATCCAATTCTCCATATACAATTTAAGAATTTCATTCAATTTCCAACATGTTCTAAATCGAATTCTGACACTTCATATCCTTTAATTAGCTTGATGACAAGTCAAATCCCACTTAGAATTCTTATTATGAACTCTAATCCAAGATTTTACTTTTCTACTTTCTTTCTTTAATCCTTCCTAACCCCATCATCTTATGGTTTTAAGATAACCTAAGCTTTCCTTAAACTTAGTTATCATCTAATGATCAATAAGCAACCTTAAATTCATCAAGAATTTGATTAACAAGAAAACTGACCTTTAGCTTGGTCTCACGGGGAAGAAGAAGAATGAAGAAGAAGAGAAATCTAGAAACTTTGGTTCTCTCCAATAGCTTTCACGTGGTTTATTAAATAACCCCAAGTAATATTTAATTATTTCTCTTGCTAAAAGACTCATTTGCCCTCTTAATTTTCCTTCTTTGCTTATCCATCCTACATAACACATTCTCATTAAATATTTCAACTATTCAATTTATCTACTTTGGTCACTAAATTTTAAAATTTCACAATTTGATCACTAACTCGGTATGGAGGATGTTACACCTCAGACCCGGATCTGGGTCGGATACGGGTTGAGGGTGTTACAAATATTCATGTAGTTATTTAAATCACATGAATTTCCTCCACCCATGCACCATATGCAATTCTATGATTTACCTAAGTGAATGCCTTGGGGCCTGAGAGCCCACCCAATAAAGTTTCTCGAGGCATCAGAGTTTACCCAAGGGTCACCTTAGGTCCGTAAGGAATTACTAGCTCGATCAGTCTGAACCTATATAAGGAATTACCAATTTGACTGAGTTGAACCTCAATACTTCATCCTACCCAGATAATGTCCCAATAAAACAGTTCAAGTAGTAATCAGTAGATCATATGATCTATAAATCAGGAACAATTATATTTTCCAATGAAAACATGTAATTAGTAAATTAGTAAATCATAAATTTAGGTGAAACACATTTCAAAATAGATAAAACAGTCAAGTAGTAAATAGGGAACACACTAGGATCAAATTATTTTCCGGAGGTACTTAACAATTATCAAGTGGGGGGAACATGGAACTTCTGCAAACTGATTAAATTTCATAAACAATACCCCTATAAAAATGGGGTTTGATAGCTGACATATTCATTAGTCATTCGGGAAGTGATTATCAAGATCTTATAGTATTTATATATTTTTCGGAGGCATTTGATCGTTATCAAGAAGGAAAAGCGTATAACTATTGTAGATTGGACGGAATTCAGAATCGAGGTCCTATAAAAAGGTTCGTTCATTAACAGATCTAATCAACCTTCCGAAATTGATATTTCAAAAATTCAATTAAGATTCGAGTGTATTAAAAAAATACTTAGGAACCTTTACATTAGAATTTTTGAAGACCTAGAGATAACATGAGTGTTTTCATTATTCAGGAAATTATGGGTATTTCGAACATTTTAATTTATTATGGCTTCTTAGTAACTTAATCTAATAAAGGTAAAACGGTAGTTTGCATTATTATGAATTTATATCCCATTATCATAACTTCGAGTCAAATCGTATTAATCAATCTCTACCCTGTAAAACTTGTCAATAAACCAGACTAATATACTTCATGAATAATCACTTTTTAATATTGATTACACTGGTAGAACTGGTCACTTTCAGAATCACCCCTGAATGAAACTAGAGGAGACGATAAGGAATTCGATGATATTATATTTTTCTGTGATGTATCAGTATCAAGAATACCAATATACTTGAGTTATACTACATAATCTTTAGGGATGATACAACATGAGTTTATTGGTGTTTTTAAAATTTATCCAAAGACACTTACTTATTCCAAGTTGCTAGGATATTTAAGTCACTTCAACACTCAAGGTTACTTCAGTCATCTTGAAGTTCAAGGTATTTTTAATCCTTTTAGGGTTTAAGGGTATTTCAGTTATTTGATTATAGGAGATTATTTTAGTTAATTCGCAGTTCGATTCTATTTCAATAATTCCTTTCAATCCAAACATATACATTTTTTAGATAATTGGTCAATTATGTCCTTTCTGGGTCATTTTCACCTTCATGGGAGATCTTGGTCGTTTTACACTACAAAGTCGGTTTACACTACAAGGGCATTTTGGTCAAATTACAATTCAAGGGTATTCTAGTCTTTTCCTTCTGTCCAGTCTTTCCATTTAATTCAATTTTTTTCCGAATAATTCAAACATGAATAATACTTCCAATATTTTAATCTTTAGGTGGTTGCTGATAAATCAATAATTATAAGTCTTGTATCTTCTCAAAAGTTAGGATTCGATTATCAGTGACTATCCGAGCATATCGGGAATTTAGCAGGTGAATCAATATTTTGTCGGATTAATTACGAATTCAGAGGGTACTTTTATTATTAGGGTTAGTCCGGACCATTTTTACTTCTTAAGGGTAATCTCGTAATTTCTTAATCTTGTATTTCCAGCATTTAACCTTTAAAGAAATTAATCAGAGTTTTGGATCATGAGGTTAATTTATTTACTAACTAATCCCTGAACTTAGAATTATTTCTGATTGGTTTACCGATTTCTTTTGTGAATGCCTTTATTCCATATTCAGTTTGAGTCCAATGATAATTAAATACACCTAATTAACCAATCATTTACATTCATGCATTTACCAATTATCAATGAGTTCTGAAAAACATACAAAAGGTATTAGAGAATTACCTTGATTTTCATACTCCACCGATCGAACATTTAAACTCCATTCGATCACTCTCGAACTTGAATCCAACGTCCAATAATATCTCGGATACATATAAATAGAAATTACATCAGAAATGAGGCTTAATTGAGGAAAATGGATCGAATCGAAAAGTAAAATGCTAAAAAATAGCTTATCGGATTTGAATTTGGGGAAATAGACTTCGGATTCGAACTCATGACATCAAAAAACATAAAATATTGTTTTTTTAAAAAATTATGACTTTTTGGGTCAACATCAATGGTCAACTATGGTCAAAGTCAACGGTCAACGAGTTAACTAGGACGAGTTGACTTAACTTGACCAGTTCGGGTTGATTCGGTCGGGTCAAATAGACCCGGTTCAGAGCGGATTGGGTCGGTCCAGACTAACTGGACCGGTTTAAAAGGCTTCCCTGAAGCGTGGAAGAGCCCCACGCATAAGCAGCGATACATGCCTGTGGCGATAGGGTAAGGGATGATCATTGAATACTCCAAACATATCCAAATATCGAATACGACCCAATTCGACATCAAACAAGTCAAAACCACGATGAAATTAACAAAAAACGATCAAAGATTACCCCCAACGACGGATGATGAATGTACAATGATCATCGACGGTTTTGGTTGGGTTTTGATCGGAATTGACCGGGGAACACAACGCTGACTAGAGTGAGGCTCACAGGCGGTTAGAACGGCCTAAATCGAGGAGAAAAATGGCGGTGATGCAATGGGTTTCCTCCCTTCGATTAACGATGCTCGACGATTGATTGGGGTCGTTGACGGTTGGGGACTAATCGTCGGAGGTCGTCGGTTCGATTGGTGGCAACGGAGCACGACAATGATGGTCGGATTAGAGCGAATCCTAGTGGATAGGTGGTAGTTAAGGTTAGGTAGAGAATTTGGAGATAAATTTGAGGTTTTTGCTTGCTCGACCAAGAGTTTTTTTTTTCAATTTTAGTTATATAAGTGGGTTAAAATAATTAAATAATATATTTATTAAAAATAAACATAAATAGTGCCCTAGCATAATGGCTAAGGCATAGGTGTCCATGACCTTAGGGTTACAGTTCAACACCCCCACAGCCACCCCCAAGCCCTTTTTTTTTTTGTTTTTGATGTCAGATGAGTTATAGTTAAATTATGATATTAGTCCCTGAACTCTCTACATAATCAAAATTAACCCAAAAAATTTTAAAATTATTTATTTTAATCCCTTAATTAAATTAAATAAATAAATTATATTATAAATGTAGTATTTTGGTGTGACATTTTTTTCTGAAAAATATTGTTAGTATAAATTTATACAAGAGGTTATATGAATAAAAAAAATTAATTTATTAAATATTATGTCGGTTGTATCACGAACTCATCAAGTGACTTCAATAATTAAGGAAATGTTGTTCTCTTTAAAAATCTTGTATTTAAACAACTATGTTTGTATAATGAATTCAAAATGATCAAAAGTCTAAGGATCAACATAAAATAAGAATCATACTTTAAGGATAAAATTAAAATATTTAAAAATAAATTCGCATTGAATATCAATAATAAAATTAATATCATTTAAAATATTAACATTGCTCTAAAAGTAATTAACATCCTTTAAAAGGAAATTAACATCCACATAAAATAATATTTTTATAGAAATTTTTTTAACTTCTAATAACATAAATTAAAATTTTTAAATTAATCTTTATCTTTACATTACTCGAATCTAAATTATTTAATTAATAAGTCGATAATTATAAAAAAATAAATACAGGTTCTATTTAATTTATTTTTTTTCTAATGGAGTGTTTATATACTCAATGTCCAAGTATTAATTTACATAAATATAAATCTAAAAATTAAAAATATTTGAGATCATCCTAAAAATATAAAAAAAAATAATTAAAATAATTTGACAAATTGGAAGGCTAAAAATGTCATTAAACTCATTTATTTCCTTAATAAGTTCTTTCGTAATATAGATATTCGAACAAAAAAAGGTAATTTAAGAGTACAACTGAGAACCGATTCTCATGGCATCATTCTATTCAAAATTCATTGGTACTCAACCCCAGAACTTTAATAGGATGCCCTTCCCACCTCCATCGACAGTGTCTCCAAAAATGGCAAGCTGACAGTTGAATTCGATTCGAACAAACCAAGCTGCTCGAGCAGTTTCTTGAGCAGTTGGCCAACTACATACGAGATGCCGGACGCCGTAATCCCGAGGCCAATGTAATAAGACACGGATCGGATGTAAGTTCTACGTGGTCTTCTAACATGGCCTTTCCCAAGTGCAAGCAAAAAGATGCATATTAAAGAAGCGCCAGCCACTGCTGCGAGCTTGAGGTCTTTATCATCACTTTTACGGAACAAGAAGCCGTAGACAACAGGAGGAACCAACCCGAAAACGAGGTATGATAAGATAGCTACAACCGCATGCATTGCAAAATTCTGTCTCCGCCCCAACATCACTCGATACCGGTCTTCCTCGACATCGGAAGCTCCACCAACACGAGGTTGGTCATTTTTCAGTTCTCTAAGCTGAAAAGTTAAATAGTAAGCAGAGTGCCAGAAATGAGAAAGACAAGGGTCTGACTGTGAACATGCATATTGAAGAATGAAAACAAGAGCCTAGGAGTTAACAAGTCCTATACTGCTCTTATCGGCAGGGACTTTTGAAGTTGAATCCGAATACAGGTCTGATCTTCGGTACAACATTCATGGATTGGCAATAAATTTATTAAAAAGTATTCATTACATGTTAACAGACAACTTCCAGTTTTACCATGCATCATTAGAACCAAGTAATCTTATTCACCAAGGGGGTAACTCACATTATGAAAAATGATCACAAGTCCTCCAATCAGATTTGCCACTCCCAAAGCCAAAACATTCACTGCAATATCGAAGCAAAAACTTGTGTGACACATATGTTGCGATCAAGGAACCGGAGTCATCATAGAGTTAGATTTGCCATTTGATGTAATCTAGAGAAGGGAAAAAGAGAGGAAACTTACATGTAGCAGCACCCGCACCAGCTGCAGAAGACACAACACCTAAACTTGTGATTGATTCAACTAATCCACCGTAGACAATGCTTTTCAGAATTTCCCATTCATGAAGCTCACCAGCGTCGGAACCTCTACATTCAGTTTCCGTTGTTCTTTGAGACGAAGGTGCCACATCCGTCCCAGGGTGTAATGTTGGCTCAAGTAGCCCAGTTTCAATATCCTTTATCTCATTACCTGCATCATATTGCAATGGCAGACAACGCGGAAAAGTTGGAACTTCAACAAATCTAACATTCGACACATTGCATTACAATAACAATCAAGTATACAAGTCGATTCATGTGAGAAAGCAATCTTTTTTCAGTTTAAAAGAAAGAACTTAAGAAGCTAAACATTCAATTAAAGGGAACAGACAAAGTGTGAATTGGTTATTCTATGATAGCAAGCAAGCACAAATTTATGTATGAATTGAAAACATAAGATTGCTATGAATAACATTAAGCTTAAAAGTTCTGTTTCGTATGTTGAGAAAGAGCAGGTTCCATCAAGTGATCAACATTACCAAATGCATAGGAGCTTTTGGTGTGTATCTAATAATAGATGCCACTTTTGCTTAAAGCAAATATGCAAATATGAAAAGGAGTGCTTAGCAGTAAAATCATTTTATGGAAACGCAGCCCTACAATATGCTCATACAAACAATTCTCTGCAACATGTCAACAACTGGCTTCTTCTCAGTAGAGTCGGCTATCATCTTGTCAAGTAGAGTGTTGTTTGTCGAAGAAAATATATCACTTTTTCCAGGTTCTTTGGGTTTTATAGCCGCACCATCAATATATCCCTTGTCGATAAGTGATGGGGTTAACACTGCAGCACTTAGTGCTGATATGGCATGACCAGCTTGAACAGGTGAAGATTCTAATATTCCATGTGAAGCACAAATAGACAGCTATTAGTAAGAATGATATGATGGTGATAGCCAAGATAGTCAAGGGCTTTCATCTAGGAAAGCTGACAAGAAAATGAGAGATGAAACAGAAAAGACCATCACTAACATAAGACATTGTAACTTTGAATCCTGGGGTTCCTCAAAAACACCTACTTCAACTCATTCAAAAAGGCTCTGCTGAAAACAAACAATTAGAACCACCAGACAGGAAAATCCTAACACAAAAATTCCTAGGCAATCTGAAACCTGCCAAGAAACTATAAATACCATAACCCATTAAGCTTCAAAATCATCCCAAATCATTCTAGCTTTCTCTCAATACTAGAGAATTTAGAGAGTTTTCTTGAGAGTTGTTTTCTTTTTTTTATCAAGAGAGAATTGTTACTGTTTTTTCCTTGTTAGATTGAGAGAAGTAATAATTCATATTTTCTCATAGTGAAATTCTTCTATCTTTACCCGTGGTTTTTACCCTATATTATTTAAGGGTTTTCCACGTAAAATTTGTGTATTTTTTATCTTTATTTTTATTTTCTCAAATTATCAGATACGATTTTGTTCTATCCGATAGCCGTATTTCGATACAATTGGTATCAAGAGCCAGATCTGAGTGTGTAATATTTACTTATTGTCTTTGTGGTTGCCACCAAAAGGTGGATCCTCCAACATAAGAAAATAAAAAGATATTACTCATTCTTTGAAGGTTCCAGAGAACTATTCACGATAGTGAAATAGTGGGAGCTATCCGTAATAAGAGCTATGACAACGAAATTTGATATTGAAAAGTTCAATGGGAGAAATTTCTCATTGTGGAAATTGAAGATAAAGGTCATCCTGAGGAAAGACAGTTGTCTAGCAGCTATCAGTAAAAGGTCGGTAGATTTCACAGATGACAACAAATAGATCGAAATGGATGGGAATGCCATGAAAAACTTTCATCTAGCATTAGCAGATGAAGTATTGTTAAACATCGAGGAGAAGGAGACAACTAGAATGATATGGGATCATCTCACCAAATTGTATTGATGGAGTAAAGGGATATCGCTTGTGGGATCTCACTGCCTGCAAAGTGATCATCAACAGGGATGTTATCTTTGTAGAAGATAAACTACAAAGAAAATAAGAAGATGGTAGTGCTGAAAAGTCAGAGACTACACAAATACATGTGGAAAATGAGGTTGAACAAGAAGATTTTTCTGAAGCAGAATCAGCACATGATGAACAAGAACCATAGAGCTTTGAAGCTCCAACAACTCGTCAATCAGATCGTATGAAAAGGCGTCCCAATTGACGCTCAAATTATATTATAGAATGAAATATTGCATACTACCTTTTAACAAAGGACGGTGAGCCATCAACATTCCAGGAGGCAATAAACAGCTCAGATACTTCACTGTGGATGATGGCGATGCAAGAAGAAATTGAAGCCCTTCATAAAAATAATACATGGGACCTTGTGTCACTACCACAAGGAAGGAAGCCAATTGGTAACAAATGGGTCTTCAAAATCAAGCAAAATGGTAACGATCAAGTTAAGAGGTATCGTGCAAGACAGGTGGTCAAAGGAGGTTGAACAAGGAGATTTTTCTTAAGCAGAACCAGCACATGATGAACAAGAACCAGAGAGTTCTGAAGCTCCAACAACTCGTCAATCAAATTGTATGAAAAAACATCCCAATTGGCGCTCAAATTATGTTATAGAAGGAAATATTGCATACTGTCTTTTAAAAAAGGACAGTGAGCCATCAACATTCCATGAGGCAATAAACAACTCAGATGCTTCACTGTGGATGATGGCGATGCAAGAAGAAATTGAAGCTCTTCAGGAAAATAATACATGAGACCTTGTGTCACTACCACAAGGAAGGAAGCCATTGGTAACAAATGGGTCTTCAAAATCAAGCACAAATGGTAAAGATCAAGTTGAGAGGTATCGTGCAGGACTGGTGGTCAAAGGATATGTTCAAAAAGAAGGTATTTATTTCAATAAAATATTTTCTCCTAGGTTCGATTAACAACAGTTCGAGTAGTCTTGGCAATGTGTGCTACATTGAACTTACATCTAGAACAGTTAGATGCTAAAACAACTTTTTTTCATGAAAATCTTAAAGAAGAGATTTACATGCTCAAACCTAAAGGTTTTGAAGAAAAAGAAAAGAAAAACTTGGTTTGCAGGTTGAAAAAATTTATGTACGGTCTAAAGTAAGAGCCGAGGTGTTGGTATAAAAGATTTGATTCCTTCATTATGTGTCTTGGATACAACATAATTAATACAGACCCTTGTGCTTATTTCAAGAGGTTTGGTGATAACGATTTTGTTATATTACTGTTGTATGTGCAGATTGTATGAAAAGACATCCCAATTGGCGCTCAAATTATGTTATAGAAGGAAATATTGCATACTGTCTTTTAACAGATGACAGTGAGCCATCAACATTCCAAGAGGCAATAAACAACTCAGATACTTCACTGTGGATGATAGCGATGCAAGAAGAAATTGAAGCTCTTCAGGAAAATAATACACGAGACATTGTGTCACTACTACAAGGAAGGAAGCCATTGGTAACAAATGGGTCTTCAAAATCAAGCAAAATGGTAACGATCAAGTTGAGAGGTATCGTGCAGGACTGGTGATCAAAGGATATGCTCAAAAAGAAGGTATTGATTTCAATGAAATATTTTCTCTCATGGTTCAATTAACAACAGTTCGAGTAGTCTTGGCAATGTGTGCTACATTGAACTTACATCTAGAGCAGTTAGATGTTAAAACAACTTTTTTTCATGTAAATCTTGAAAAAGAGATTTACATGCTCAAACCTGAAGGTTTTGAAGAAAAAGAAAAGAAAAACTTGATTTGCAGGTTGAAAAAATTTTTGTACGGTCTAAAGTAAGAGCCGAGGTGTTGGTATAAGAGATTTGATTCCTTCATATGTGTCTTGGATACAACAGAATTAATGCAAACCCTTGTGCTTATTTCAAGAAGTTTGGTGATAACAATTTTGATATATTACTGTTGTATGTGGATAACATGTTAGTTGCAGGACCCAACAAAGATCATATTGAAGAATTGAAGGCACAACTGGCTAGGGAATTTGAAATGAAGAACTTGGGATCAGCAAACAAGATTCTAGGGATGCAAATTCACCGAGACAAAAGTAATAAGAAGATTTGGCTTTCACAAAAGAATTACTTGAAGAATATCTTGTCACGATTCAACATGCAAGATTGTAAGCCAATTTCTACCCCTCTTCCTATTAACTTCAAATTTTCGTCCAATATGAGTCCTAGCAGTAAAGAAGAGAGGATAGAGATGTCTCGAGTGCCGTATGCATCGGCAGTGGGAAGTTTAATGTTTGCTATGATATGCACAAGACCAGACATTGCACAAACAGTGGGAGTGGTTAGTCGATACATGGCGAATCCAGGCAAAGAGCATTAGAATACAACAAAGAGGTACAAGGTAGAAATAATGGTGTGAAGATATGATTGTTCCAATCAAATCTTCAAGTGAGAAATTGTTGAAAATTCTGCACCGAAAGTACATGAAATTTGTCAAAAAATGATGCACCAATTGAAGTAAAAAATGGGGGCACCGAAAAGGGGTTGTAAATTGTTGAATTTTGACATGATAAATCATAAATTTAACCCCTGTACTTTAGAATATTTATAAGATTAGTCTTTAAGCTTAACTATAAATACCCTAACCTATTAAACTTGAAAACCATCCCAAATCATTATAGTTTTCTCCTAATACTAGAGAATTTAGAGAGAGTTTTCTTGAGAGTTATTTTCTCCTTTTTATCAAGAGAGAATTGTTATTGTTTTCTTTTTGTTAAATCGAGAGAATTTATAATTCCTATTTTCTCATAGTAAAATTTTTTTATATTTGCTCGTGGTTTTTTCCCTATATTATTTAGGGGTTTTCCACGTAAAATTTGTGTTTTTTTTATCTTCATTTTTATTTACTCAAATTATCAGATACAATTTTACTTTATCCGATAGCCGTATTCCGCTACAAATAATAATTGTAAAGTTAACCATACCTTTCCCAACAGTTACTTTGCTCTTAGATGCAAAAATAGAGGAAATCCAATTTGTTCTATCTGTAGTTATCTTTTGAGGGCTTTGCTTGCTGATGTTCTGGTTTATGCCCTGTGGACTTCTTGCATTTTCACCACGACTTATCTTTTGAGGGCCTGATTTATCTTCATTCCAGCTAATAGGTTGAGGTTTTTGTGCATCTTCATTATGATTTGTATGTTGAGGACTACTGATGTCCACATCATGAGTTCTTTTTTGAGGACTTTGTGCGTCTTCATCGTGGCTTACTTGTTGAGGAGTTTCTGCATTTCCATTCTGGAGTACAACTTTAGAGATTTCTATTTTTTCCTGCAGGCTTATCACTTGAGGACTTTGTGTATTCTCACTTAGATTTACTCTTTGTGGAGTTTGTGTGTTCTCACTCAGGTTTGTTTCTTGGGCACTTCCTGTGTGTTCTTTTTGCCTTATCTCAGGTGTGGTCTGTATGTTTTCCCTTTGTCTAATCTCTTGTGTGCTTTGTGAGTGTTCAGTTCGTCTCCCCCATCTGAAGAACTCTAACATCTTGAAACAACCATTTCCTTCAAGATTTAAAGAATGAAATTAGGTTTCATGCCCATAAAACACCCTAAATAGTAATGATCTGAAACTTGCCAAGTTAAAAATATATGTATACATTTGATTTGGAATTCATACCAAGGAACTAACAAGTAACATAAAAACATGCATCAAAATGGACATTGCATGCATGAGAGGTTACCACTGTATGCACTATGCATAAAGTTGTTTCTGCTCTAATGATCAGTAAGATAATTAGATTATCATGTGAAATAAGTAACAGAATACCTATAGGAATGAAAAGGCTGAAGCATGATAAGCAGCTGAATGCTTCTTGTTTTTGTTCTTGTTCTCTACCATCATTTTGCTCATCTGGTGCTGCTACTGGACTAACATTTGGATGGATTTCAGGTGTGTCGTCACTGCCACCTAAGCCTGCAGAATTAGGAATCGGGTCCAGCTTGCTACCACGCTTTGGTCTGTGGCGTATTGAAAATTTTGGCCTTCTTCTAAGGATAACCTTTTTTGTGATGCAGGAATTGCAATTTGGGCAGTACAAATGATGTGTATTTTGTTTATCTAAAACCCTTTCAACATCTAAGTCCACTAAGTCCTCTTCGATTTCTTCGAATAAGTCAATGTCGGCCTCTACTTTGGTTCCATTCTCAAAATGCTTGAAACTTCCATTTGCTTCACGTAAATGTTCAACTGGTGCAGGTCTCAAGCCAAAATCGTTCTTATCGTCAGAATTTTTCACCATTTGATTATTGATTTCCATGCTCGGAAATTTTGTAATTTCAGATTGCTTTTCATTGATGAAAGTTCCATTTGCTTCATGTAAATGTTCAACTGGTGCAGGCGTCGAACCAAAATCTTTCTTATCCTCGGAATTTTTCACCATTTGATGATCGATTTCCGTGCTCTGGAGCTCTGTAATTTCAGATTGCTTTTCATTGATGGATTCAGTGCCTGCAACCAGGAAGCAAACAAGCACTTTGTTATGCAACTGTCATCTAGCATTTTTTTCTATAGAAAACATTTCAATTTGAACCAAGTTGTCTCCTGATAATATGCCGTGATTTATTTAAATATCTAAGACCTGCAACTGATCAATGGAATATTAGAATTAAAACCCAAACTCAATATTTTACAGATCGAAAGTGAAGTATGAACATATCTAAACACAACAGAATTTCAGAGGTCAAGTTTGAATCTGGTCAGCATTTTCAATGGACACGAAGCTAACATCAACAAGCAATAATGAAAGGAAACAGCTACCCACAAATCACTACAATAATCCATTGACAAGGTTCAATCTAAGGCGACTTGATCAGCTGGCAACTGCTACTAATCTAGGCATCTACTGGCCTTCAGTTTCTAAACCCCGCTGATTTAATGTTTTGGTACTCATTGGCAAGTGCAAGTACCCCTCACCCTCAGGATCTAGGACATTAAGTATGCAAGAATCTCCAATTTGATGGGACCAATTTCAATGGCGACATTTCCATATTCCTTCAGCCACATACAATGATAAACAATGGCATTTGTATTAACAAACAGATAATGAGAGAGGATTATGATTGTGAAACAAGTAGGGGAATAAAATAAATACAAAACGAGAAAAATGGTGAATAAAAGCAAATATTGAGAGTCGGTGTCAGTCATTTGCAAGAAGAGCCAAAGAAATGAAAATTTGGTGGTCCTTCTCAACTTTCACATGATATTTGAGCACAAAGTTGCTGATAATGGCAGGATGGCCTTGTTTTTTTTTTTTTTTTGTAATGCACAATTGCACAGAGCAGTAAGCAAAAAAGGGTCAACATTGAAGAAGGTAAAAACTGAACGGGGGAAGAACAAGAAGGGATTCACCAAGATCACACAGTAAAGAAAAAGAAAAAAAATCTAAAAGTTGGGTAGCTAAGTTCAAACATACTGACAACCATTATGAGATATTTGGGTACCTTGGAGTTTGTCAAAGTAAACGCTGTTTCCACCGCCTTCCCCATTCACAACTTGGTCGGCTTCCCCATTCTCGCCGCCGCATGCAGTTACTTGTGCATCTTCTTTTTCTTCCACTTCTTGGTCAGGAATTTCAGGGGTAGTTCCATTGGTAGGGGCAGGCTGAAGCTCACCTTCAGCACTGGTAGCAGTAGCTCCGACTCCACTGGGTGGATGCCTTGAGCTTGAACGCCTTGCTAAAAGGTCCACGCCCGCCTCTTCTTCTTCTTCTTCTTCCTCTTGGTCTAGCCATAAAGTTTCGTTGGGCAACTTTGGGTCAAATTGTTGTTGCTCCATGTCCATGTTTGACTTCCAAATCTTCACTGGTAGACCCCCACACCCACTATTCACCTCAGCCACTTGTATAGCTGGAATTTGGCAAAAGTATCATCTGTGCCCACCATCATATAGCAGAGAGAAAAAAGAAATACTACTAATATACAATGTATTTGGAAGGATTCATTGGGCAAATAATAAAAAAAACTAAATAAATATAAATGTTGAAAAATCAATATGGAATTTAAGTCATTTATTATATTGTTTTTGAAACTTGTTATATCATCCTAATAATTTTATAAAATATAATAAATAGTTAAAATTTGTCGTGTTCTTATGATGAGTTTTATATAATTTTTATCAAATATACATGACGAGTTGTTATTTTAAATATATTTTATGAACCTTGTCTTATTATAAAAGTATGACGAGTTTTACTTATACTATAATAAATGATCTAGATTTGAAAATAATTTTCTATATCTTTATTTTTCAAATTTTTATTTCACACTCACAATATTTCTAAAATTTAAGCGTGTTTAAAATGTAGTTTACTATTAAAGGAGAAAAATAAAAATTGCACCTTGCAAAATCGAATTACGAAACTGTTCTGATCTATGGTTATTACTTCCTTCGTCACATTAAATTTGTCTCTTTATTAACCCTTTAAAAGTTAACATTTTTAAATTTTAATCATGATTATTTTAATTATTTTAAAAAATTAAATTTTATAAAATATATATTTAAAAACTAATTGTTCAAAGATTTATAATATATAATTAATTTTAAATAATAATGAGTCAAAGTTAAAAAAATCACTATAAATTGATAAATAAATGACAGATTTAATACAAAAAAAAAGTATTTCAAAAGGGCTCAATTGTCTCTTAAAGTATATAACTTTTATTGAGTTGTATTTAAAAATATTTTTTAAAAGTTCTATTTTTCAATATTAATAAATTGTTTATATTTAATATATTAATTCCTCGATAAAAAAATAACACTCCTGATTTATTAAGAAAAAACTAGAAAAACTAATATACAATCAAAACTAATTAAAACTAAGTCTAAGAAAGAAACCCGTCCCACCATTGAACTATAAATTAAAATTATTATATAATAGATAATTAATATTTAAATTAAATTGAGATTAAAATTTACTGTATTTAATATATTTTTAAGTTAATTTAAATAAATATATTAATTTCATCCAATAAAAAATGATATTATTAATTTTATCAAATTAAATTGAGTTTTATTCACTAATTTGAATTTATTTGAACAACTCAAAAGTAAAAGATAATTATTTATTGATTTAAATCGAGTTTTGTTCACCAAATTAATTACAAATAGTTTTGCGTTTTATTCAATTCATTGCTTAAAACAAGATTGTTTAAATTAAGGTCTAGATTTAATTTAATTTTTCTAAAATTTTGACACATGAATATTTCAAGGTTAATATCATAGATATACTGATAATTTTTAGATTTATTTTTATATTAAAATTATTTTTAAATTATATATTAGTCCCTTGTTTTTTAATTAGTATATTTCATGTCCAAATTAGTATTTAAGAATATATATATATATTATATAATGATGAGTTTAGATTTTTTTAATGTAATTAATTAAATAAATAATATAACATCCTCGAATTACAAACTATTTTTTTAGTTTGATGATGATAAAATCTCTAAAAATAATTATTTTATTAATTTTAAATGTTAATATTCGTAACCTTAAATTTTGGCTCCTTAGATTGAACAATTATTGTAGACACTCGTTTTTGTCCGGGTTTAAAAAACATTTTATTATATTATATTATATTATTTATTATTATTATTAATATTTTTATTTTTATTTTTTATAGGTCCCATGTTCAACCCATCATTCCAACAAACAACCCACTATCCCACCATTACCACCCACCTTACACGTTTTCTTCATTTTTTCTCTCAAAAGGAAAGTGGAAATCTAGATAGGGGTCACGTGAATATTAGTTTCTTCTCTCTTTGGTTATAAAAGGCTCTTAGCTTTTAATATTTAGGGGGAAGCATTTCGTGGGAAAAAAATGGAGAGGGAAGTCAATTCACCACTGATCTTTCGACACTTTTCTGAGTTTCTCTATACATTTTCGTAGTTTTCTTCTTCTTCCAACGGCTGCCATGGTTTTAAGTTCATACTCGAACTGGGAAACTGATTTCTAGCGCACTAACGATGAAACAATTCAAGCTGATCATCAACAACAATACTGGGATTCATTTGAGCTGCATTTTGGTTTCATTGATCCTTACATTGAACTAAACAACAGTTTTCTTCAACCATAAAAAGCTCGAGAAATCTTCAGGAGGTTCTGAAATGGCCCCGAAGAGAGGTGGAAAGGTAGTTGTGCCAGCAAAAACCAAGATAAGGTTGTCAATCCATTGTTTGAGAAGCGTCCAAAACAGTTCGGTATTGGAGGGGCTTTGCCACCGAAGAAGAATTTGCATCGTTTTGTGAAGTGGCCTAAGGTTGTTCATATTCAAAGGAAAAAGAGGATCCTTGTGTAGAAAGATGGAGGTCCCCTACTGCATTGTCAATGGAAATCACGTTTGGGATGATTGTTCACAGGAAAATTGTTTCCGTCTTATGCTTAACAACGGTTAAGAAAGAGGATGAGTTGGACTTCACCAAATCCTCGAGGCCATCAGGGGATACTTTAATCGATCGAAGGTAAGTGATTTGAATCGAGTTTTTAAATTTAAATTTAAATTTTCGACATAAAGACAATCGACAAATTAATCGGTACCGAAAGGGAAGTTCAAGGGTACTAATCCTTAATTGACCGTAACTGACTCCCGAATCCGGCACATTTCTGGTAAAACGTTGATCAGGTAAAATGGTGTCCGATCCACCTAAATGTTTTTAAAGTGATCGGTGGTGACTCTAACCCATTTAATTCAAGTCGAAGCCTAATTCCGGGGCCCAACTGAAATACGGTTCCAACAGCTTGGCGACTCTGCTGGGGACAGGTAAGTGAGTCAAGCTAGAATTAATTTCCGGTTGTCTTTTATGCGAAAATAGTAAATTTTAATTTTAATTTATTTATTCAATTACAATTATTTATCTTTGATTATTTTTCAAATAAATAGTTGTACTGACATCTTTTCAATGATTTCAGAGATTTTTTTGAAAGATTTCTATCTCAGGCTCTATACCCGAGCTCCAAACCCTATTTAAGTGAGGGTGAAAGTGAAGCATTCATGTGAATTTATTCACCGTGAGGGCCTAGCAAGTAGCCTTCGGGATTCATACACCTTATGTCTTCGTGTGAATTTATTCACCGTGCGGGCATAAGGGAATGTGTCCTCTCGAGTTTAACTTAGTCCGCACAAGCCTGTGATGGGTTTAGGACTAAGGGTCTGGCAAGCCCAAGGGGGCACCGGCAAGGAGAACTCGGGTACCGTTTTTTAGAACCTAAACCAGAAGACTATGGAGAATTAGATCCTACCCCAAATCCTCATTTCAAACCCTAGGATGCATGATTTATTTCCTGCTTTACTTTTTGTTAAAAGCATGCGAACTAGACAAATATACGTTTAGGATTTGTTTGAAATTAGCATGCGGGATAGAGATCATGTCCGGGTAGGAATAATAAGTATGTGGGGTAGGATTTTTCATTTTTTATTGTTTTGATTTACCTCACTAATTTTTTTTTATTTTTTGTTCTCTTTCATTTTGTTCTCATCATTTGCATCATTTAAAAGAGGTGTTGATCCACTAAAAACATGTTTGTTAAACATGAATAATCTGCATTAATGGAAAAAGGGGTTGTAATACAAGAGATGAAAACGTAAAGGACAATCTACAAGGCGACTATGTGTCATATTCAATCCAGAAGACGTGGTGCCCACAATTGAAGAGTATATCACTATGCTACATTATAAAGGACTCAGAATGAACCAGGTCTACATCAAGCACAATGAAAGTCTATCTTTAAAGAACTGACTGCAAAGATTGCAGGGGCAAGACGAGGAAAATGTTACTGACCCGGACGCTCTTTTCAAAAACTACGAGAACAAGATGGCGAAACCCTAGCTGAGCTGAATTCCATTGCTGACGAATTCAAGAAGTAAGCTTCAGATAGTTTCTATCGATGGAGGGCTCCAATGGTGTTGTCGTTAGGGAACAGACTCATCAGAGAGTGGAAGTCAAAGGTGCAGTCCTTCGAGACTTTTTTTGGGGCAAACAACTTGTCATTTGCAATATTCATCTGAAGAAGCCAGAGCGGTACAACAAGTTATTCAACCGGTGACAGACGAAGGCAGAAGAATAGTCAACATATCAGAAGCTGTCAGGATATTTTTGTCTCTTAAAAGACAAAACACTTTTGTCTCCAATAAGGATTATTTCTAATAACAGACACAATTATTGGATCAATGCCTTGAACATTGCATGTATCATGCATTCCTGCATATTTCGCATTACTTTTCTCTTTTTTATTACATTCACATGTCTAATAAAAAATGAGAACATTTCGATCCTATTACATATAAGGAGCTTTACCAATAGTTGTTTGATGCACATGTGGTGTCACCATATCCAGAGAAATCCATGAAGCCCCTGTACCCCAAGTTGTATTATGAGAATGCTCATTGCGAATATCATAACGGTGTCCCAGGGCGCACTATCAATAAATACTCCACATTCAAGAGAATCGTATATAAAATACATAACAAGAATTGGATCGACTTCAAGAACTCGGGGGCATCCAAGTAAGGGAGATCATTTCATCATTTGAGGCATTCTGTTTGAATTTGTTTTTTTCTTTTTTTTTTCTTTCTCAAGTTTTTGTAAGGACTTTTAAAGAAATTTATTTTACTTTAAAGATGTTAAACAATTAATCACATTTGAAAACTTGCAATTCTTTGAATATCATTTGAATTAAGAAACTCTGTAAATAGTTCAAAATTACAGATCTTTGACGAAGTAACATGACTTAAAATAAAGACTTTGACCTTACCCGGAATATACACTCAAACACCGTA